AGAAGGACCTCCAAACAGCAGGTATGGACTTGTATGTTCACATGTAATGTTGACCATGTGTATGTGTATGACATACAGCTTTTGTGTGCTGATAGGAGCTGCAGCTGTCAGTGGAAACCTGCCGTATCTACTCTTTGTACCACGCCCTGCACCACTACAAATACCATACTTTCCTGCGGTGTAAGAAAGAGGTATGACTTTCAACTCCAGGAGGGCTGTATAAGGTTTACAAGATATAATAGCAAAAAAGTTGTATTGAAAGTAGGGCTGGGTTGTACATTTTGTCCAAATTCAGAAGGGTTTGGAATGGAACAATAGAGAGTGAAAAATCACCATCCAAAGTTGAGACAGTTCAACCACAGCAGCTGATTTGTAGCATGTGTCTCTTAAAGGTCCTGTATGACTCTTGTGAGCTTTAAGCCATGTTATAATGCTGTTAACTAATTATTAATCTGTCTGCATCTATAAACCTCAACATGCTCTATTCCACCTTGTGATGTCATGTAATAGCAGTTTTCAAATTCAACATCTATGTTTTACCTTAGTTCACTTTAGTTCACTTGAGATCGGCAATTCCAGGGCTGAGATCATCCAGATGATTCTAGTGAAGGTGTACGGAGTTTAAAAACATAGTGGAGCACTTCCTGTATTACTGCATGACATCACAAGGTGGAACACCGTTTGAGAAAAGAGCTCTAAATATGCAGGGTTTGTGTGTTAAACATGTGCAAATGAAACAAAACACAACTCCAGGTCTGTTTGTGATGAGAGAAAAACATTAGAACTGATCAGAAAATATGATCATAAGAGCCTTTAAATACAGAAAATACATTCAGAACTTCTTTTACCTGAGATAAGTTCTCAAGAAAATCCATGCAGTTTCTCAGTCCTTTATGTTGTTTTGTTTGTTTTGTTTTGTTTTTTTTAATGTGTAAGCCATGTTTGTTTTTGATGCAAACATAACATGGGTGTCTCAGACTGGTTCATCTGCCTGTGACTCTGAAATCAGGGACACAGGACACGGCTCCAAATCCACTCGTCTTTGTAAAGTCTCCCAAAAATGTGTGGTTCTGTTTGGACGAGTATTGTCCTGCATTCCAGGTGGGATCTCGTGTGGTTTGAGAATCCATCATCTACGACTCTATACTGATCTGTTTGAGGCCACACTATTTTTGGAGTTGAGCAGAAAGAGCATATATTCTGATTTATTGGTACTTGCTGCCAAGCTACCAAGCATAAGAAATTGTAGATTTGATATTCATTTGGCAACAATCTATCTATTGTTTTAGTATCACATCACAGTCAGTCGTTATGATTGGCTGAGATTGGCTAAAACTTCACCTTGAATCCCTGAAATGAGAAGTCTTAAGGGAATATAAGGTAGACACCAAAACAGAGGCCTAGAGATAAGGCACTTTTAAATAATTACATTCTTGTCAATGTCTTACCAATTTGCGATGAAGAGGAAGAGATCTGGTTTGTAGCACTAAAGAGTAAAATAGTTTTTAAGATAATGCTAATGCAACACTAAACTTCCTGTCTTTCTGTGCATTCCATTTCCCGCTGTTTACAAATTAGATTGTTTTTCCAATGATGAAATTCAAACAATATCTGCTGATTTTACTGTACTGTAGTTTTCTTAATAGTAATAAAATAATGTTGGTGTAATCTCCCAGACTAGTTTAACAGACTGAAGCAGAGTTGCCAGATTTTCACAGAGCAACAAATGATCAACATAATTAGAGGCTCTGTGCCCGATTTGTACTGTCTTAAAAAGGTGAAAAACAGAACTGGTTTATTTTTAAACGATTTGTAGTTTGAAGTTATTCCTCTTTATGCATTTTAAGCTTTCTAGTTATTCATCGCCATGAGTTTATGAGTGCTTTTCACGACGTTCACAGACCAGAGTGGACTTCTGTTGTCAAAGTGAAACAGAGAACAGGTAACGTGCTCAATTCCAGATTCTCGGACTATAGAAAGGCTGGAAAAGGGCAGTTAGGGCATTTTGAATTCCTTGTGATGTTGCTCGTGCTCCACACTGCGATGGGCTGCTGGAGGTTTGTCTGTGCTTGACTCTGGTCCTTGTGTGTCCCTGTGAGCAGACGGTGAGCATGGAACAGGCCTCAGAGGACCCCGGGCAGGAGGAGGTGGTGCAGCGCTGTATGGCCAACCACGGCTGGATCGACAAGCTCTTCGGCTCCTTCATGGAACTGCTCAGCCTCAGCGCCAAAGCCTGAGTCACTCCGGACCAGAGAGGAGATGAGAGGAGCAGAGAGGAGCTGAGAAGACCAGAGAGGACCGGCCCACCTGTGGACAGCAGAGACGTGCTAACTGTGTACAAAAGCATCGGCCGGTGCAGAGGCCCATGGAGAGCCACAAGAGTTATAGAACACTTTATGATTTTACGTTAAATGGAAGCAACGGCATTAACTGAGGCTTTAAAGGACATAAATATGTGAAACCATTTTTGGAGCATTTCAGTGCTCACATTGCCTTCATTACACAACTCATCTATCTGTTAGCTTTGAGGTGCTATTAGTCATGCTGCTCCTTACTCCATCAGCCTGGTTCACTTCCACACAGTATTTGGAAAAGGTCAAACTAGGCCAACAAAACTCTAAAACATAAGATGTCTACTTTAAGAAGACTTTAAACATGAGCTCAGTGACACTGTGAGACACTGTAGGTTACAGCTTCATGATCCTCTGGTCAACATCAGGGTGATCCAGTCACGCAGGGACAGTTGTAGATGAAGAGAGGCCGTAGGCCTCACCCCTGACAGCAGCTCCACATACCTGCAGACTCATCGCCATGGAAACAAGTGATATTCACAGCCACACTTTTTGACCACAGGAGCAGACCGGAGCTCCAGCAGTGGCTCCAGGCACACGGGAATGTCCAAAGGATCTTCTGTACAAGTGGTTTGTAAAAGAGCGTGTTTGGATAGATTTATTTGTGATTTTATGGAAATATGACACTTTCATTTCATATTTGGAAGACTTTAGCCTATTTGCTTTTTATAAATTAAAATTTTAGATTTGTCCTTTGTTTTATCAAAACAATTCTATCGTCGCAGAGGCCAAAGGCCCAAACACTTAGTTTTATCTTGATTTCATGGAGTTGTGTTTGTGTTGAGTGGGTAAAACTCCATGTTCCTTCGGTGCAGGTAGGG